GGACTTCTTGGACTATTCTTGGACCCTTGAACTTAGAATTAGGACTATTTCCCTATGCTTGGAGTATTATGGATCTTTGGCTTTATTTGGCTTGCTCACTTGCTTATGCTTCAAAATGGATGGAATTCTTATTTGTCTTGCTATGGGGTGTACTATAAGTTGGTTAGATCCTTCTTATCTCTAGCTTTTATTTTGCTTTCTAGGATAGTCACTTCATCTTCTCCCCTTCTTAAAATTTCAAAATCTCCTCCTTTTTCAAAAACATTCTTGCTTTCAAACTTAAAACCGCTTTCATAATAAAACGTTAACTTTTGCCAAGTGATTTTCAAACTTTGTTTTTCTTTAATAAATGTCAATCAATGTTAATCATATTTTGACAAATTTCAAAAAGACTTTAAAAAAAGATCAACCTCATTCAAACTTTTTGTGCCTTTGCGCACTTTTCATTTTAAAACTTTTTATAAAGTTTAGACATAAGTCATTTTCATAGTTGAGATATAATTCTCCTATTACCCATAGTATTAAGATGTTGAGATTTTCCACTTAGCTGTTAAGTGATAGACTTGTTGATTTTAATCCAAGAAAAAACCTCCATCTTTAGGTGATGCAAATGTTGTCTTATACTTGTGGACGACTAGTCGTAGTTTTCTCCTTAAAATGACAACTTGTCTTTACATTTAAAATCAATCAAAACCAACAAATTTTTGTTATTTATACCACGAACTACGAGGTTTTGATCCTATATTTCACTTTGTGGGTACGTAGGCATGAGGCGATAAGTCTCTCCAAACACAAAAACCTTAAAAATAATTCTCTTCTCATCTCCCTAATATCTTTTCAAACAAACATTTTTCAAACCAAAAAGTGTAGATACTTCAAAGGGATCCTATAGAGTACTATAGACTTTTTGGGTGCTAACACCTTCCCATCGCGTAACCAACCCCCTTACCCATATCTCTGTTTTTGTTCTTATTTTAGAACTCTTAGGTTTTGTTCGCTCTTTTTCCTTTTCTTTTGGATAAAATAAAAGTGCGATGGCGACTCTTGCATTTTTGAGTTAAGTTAATCAATTGCTTACACTCACGAATTTTCCCGCTACAACTCAGCCTGGCAATCTTGTTGTATGGAAAAAGATCTATCATTTAAGATTTAGAGTACAAAAAATGGTTGCTTGGATCACAAGTTATGGCCTTGTAAAGTTGGGTATTTGAACATGAATTTTCATAACTTAGTGAAATTTCCATGTTTTTCCAATTTTGCTTCTTTTGTAAGTAACCTTGATTTCTTGATTAATCCTTGATTAAATGCAACTATGGATCAATTTTTTTTGAATAATAGTCCTTAATGATCAATTTTGCTCAAAAAAGTTAAACTTTGACTTTGGGTATCAGATGAATTTTGTGTAGAGAAACCCTAATTCCCAATTTTTCATGGATGCATCCTCTGAGGAAAATTTGAAATTATGAATGGAATCTCAAGGTATATTTGAGCTCCTTGAATCATATTTTGAGGTATTGGCTCATTCTTAGATGAAAATTTATTTTTGGAGGCCTTGATCAACCAAAACCCTAATTTGGTGCCTCAGATGACCTTCGAGCTTGATCCACTTGAAATGAAGTATATTGTGTTTGATTCTTGATGAAGAAGACCTTTTGATCTTTATGGATGAATGAGAGACTTGATAGGTAGAAGATCAAGCCAATTTTTTATTGATCTTTTGCTTGAATCCTTTATGAGGCTCAAAGCCCTAATTTGCAGTAAAAAAATAAAACAAGCAACAAACTTTGTATATCCAAATAGGTTAGTGATGCATAAATGTATATTCATATGATATGAAAATGATATAGGATCTTAGGGTCAAACTTTAGGGCATGATAGGTACCGCAGTGCATGTGCTTATAAACTCTACTGTCCTGTCACTAATAAAGTTGAGTTTAGCAGAGATGATATTGTGAAAGAATCATAAGCATGGGATTGGAATAAGTCTCAATCCAACTCTGGTGCAGTGTTAACGCATGAGTTAACTTCTGAAGATATTTTATACCATGAAGAAGAATATGTCTCTGAAGGAGATTTTGAGTCTAAAGATGAGTTAGAGTTTGAAAGCGACTCTGAGGCTAAAGAAGAGCCTGAAAGTGAATATGTTTTGATCCAGATTTTAATTATGATCAAGAACCTAGTGGTAATCATGTCTTTAAAGGTGGTACGACCTGTGAAGGTAGTCTAACATATGATATTCTTCAAGCTCTGAAGAAGATTCTGAACAAGTTCAAAGACCACAAAAAATCAAACAAATACCAAGAAGGTTTGCAGAGTTTGACATGTTACGAGATACCGGGATAGACTCTGAAGGGGAAGTCATTCAATGTGCCATGTTGGTAGACTTTGAACTAGTGAGTAGTGAAGAAACTCTCAAGCAGAAAGTGTGGCTAAAATCCATAAAAGAGGAACTTGAGGCTATATAAAGAAACAAGACTTGGGAGTTGCTCGAGCTTTCAAAGAACAAGAAATCCATCAGTGTGAGATGTGTTTACAAGGTGAAACTAAAGCCAGATGAATCAATTGGAAAACACAAAGCAAGGTTAGTAACTAGAGGATTTCTACATAAATATGGTTTAGATTACTTTGAAGTGTTTGCATCTGTAGCTAGACATGAAACAATCAGATTGGTGATTGCTATAGCTGCTAGTACAAATAGGCCTCTGATGCATTTAGATATGAAATTCGCATTTCTGAATGGTGCTTTGCAAGAGGAAGTTTATGTATTACAACCTCCTAGATTTTTGAAAAAGAATCGGGAATGGATGATGTACAAGTTGCATAAAGCATTGTATGAACTGAAACAAGCTCCTAGAGCCTGGAATCAGAAAATTGATTCATTTTTCAAGCTTCAAGGATTCGAGAAATGTGAGATGGAATATGGTGTTTATGTTTAGCATACATCTAATAGTAATATGATTCTGGTGTATCTTTATGTTGATGACATATTGCTAGCATGAAGCTATTCAGAAGAGATAACTAAGTTCAAGAAGGTGTTGATGAACGATTTTGAGATTACTGATCTAGAAAATATGACATATTTTCTAGGGATGGAGATTATGTACTCTAATAAAGGTATAGTCTTGCATCAACTAGAGTATGAATTTGAGTTTCTAAAGAGATTTGAGCTAACAAATTGCAAGTCTGCAATCACACCTGCTGAAACAAATCACTAGTTGGATTCTGGTGTTGAGGGCGATGATGTGGATGCTACAATTTTTAAACAATTGGTAGCCTTGTTGAGATATCTCTGTAATACCAGACCTGATATTTTCTATGTAGTTGGAAGGATGATTAGTTTTTATGAACAAGCCAAAGTAGTCACATTATCAAGATGTTGTCAAGATACTAAGGTATATTAAGGGGACTTTGAGGTATGAGGTTTTGTTCCCCTCTTATGTTGAATATGATTCATAGTTGATGTGTTATTCAGACTCTGATTGGTGTGGAGACATAGTTGACAGAAATACTTCTAGATATTTCTTTAAGTATCTAAGAGGCCCTATTTCTTGGTGCCCCAAGAAGCAACCAGTTGTTGCATTATCAACCTGTAAAGATGATTACATTGCAAATGCTTTGTCAGCTTGTCAAGGTGTATGGATTATGAACTTGTTGCAAGATCTGAAGGTAAGCAAACCTGCGAAGTTGGTGATTGATAACAAATCAACTGTAAGTCTTGCCAAGAATTAAGTGCTGCATGATAGAAGCAAGCACATGACACAATGTTTCATTTTCTAAGAAAGCAGGTTCAGAATGGAATGTTTGAAGTTGTGCACTATATCACTCAGAAGGAGCTGATATATATCCTGACCAAAACAATTAAAACTCAACACTTTATCCATTTGAGAGATGGAATTTGTGTTGTTAATTATAGTTTTGAAAATGGATTAAGGGATGGTATTGGAGTGTAATTCAATATTCAGTTAGTATTTCATTTAAGTGTCATTTAAATTTAATTTGAGATGCATTTAATTTGACAGTTGAGTTTTAGAGTGTGTATAAATACTGAACTTCTGTTTAGTTAGTGTAACAGAACTGTAATGGAATTTCAATTTACAATGTTAGTTACAATTTTCTCTTCTCTCTTCCATCTTCATCTTCTTTCTTCTTGGGCAACAATAATAAAAACATTCAAGTTTAAATATAAACAGAACTGAATTTTGCTTAAAATATTGTTTAATTGTTCTTTTGTCAAAATTACCCTTAGGTATTTATTACAAAAAGAAAAAAGATAAAATGAATGTAATAAATAATTAAGGATATTATAGATAAAATAAGAATTATTGTTTAAAAAGTAACAATAATAATTATCTTCTTTTGTATGTATGAAAAGTAAAAAAAAAATGACAATAAAAAAAGAACCGGAGGTACTAATAACATCCACAAGAAAATTTCAGATGGAGAAGTATTTAAAAAAAAAAAAGTGCAAAGTTCATACTTTTAACACATTCAAGAGCCAAAGGCTACTTTTAACACATTCAAGAGCCAAAGGCCTACAGTCACAGACAAGTAACGGTAACATGCTTGTTATTTCACTAAACTTTCAAATTGTAGAAAGAAAATGCAGAGGATCCAATTTCCATTTTTGTGAACTCAGTTTAACTTTTACATATTTACATATCTACGCTTCTTTCTTTGTCTAACAAAAGGAAGAAAAATAAAGAATAATCTTCCCATCAACATCTATGTGAAACGTAAAAAGGTGACTATTACACATTGGTAATGCTACAATTTTCACTATGTCAGTGAAAATAATCTGTTTTTAAAAGTGTCTATGTTTATATTAGACAACTACTACCATAATTGTCAAATAGTAACTATAGTGGCACTATAATACAAAATGTTGTCAAAGCTCAGGCTATTGCGGCACTATAGTGTTGAAACGTACAGAATTGGAACAACCCGCTTTTTATGTGATCAAACGGTTCGTAACACTGACTACTACACGACAAATTTAAGAGTCATGTCAGGGTTCTTTTAAAAAATTTCCCACCTTTCTTTCCTATACCTATTGCCACAAGACTTGATTGAAGAAGTGATTTGGTATCTGGCCTCCATTTCAATTCTCTGAGAGTGGTAAATAAGGTTGCAAGTGAAAGAGTGATTTCACTATCCTTTATATTCTTACATGAGACTACTCTAAGGCTTTGAAGCTCCTTCCATGAATGTATTACAGAATCCAAACCTTCGGTTGTTAGCAATGAGCATCCTTCTAAGTGAAGCAACTTTACGCACCTGAAATGACACAGCAATTTCGATTCATAACTTGCACAATAATTTCAGCTGATTAGAGTCACTTTCATATGATTTTTTCCATTAAAATGAGCATAACCACCTTCAAATTAGACCAAAAAAAAATAAACAAATTGTAATTTTGAAAACTCCATGTGATTTCAGATGAGTTTTAATAATATCAACTTATTGCAACATTAGAATAAGGAATAGGAAAAAGAAAAAAAACTGTCTGCAACCTTTAGTCCTAAATTAGAGGTGTAAGAGGAAGATTAGAGGAGTAAAACGAAATTTCTCTATAATCTCATAAAACTTACTCAAGCATTATAAATTACCCACAGTCATGCAGACAAGATTGCAATATACATATATATAACTAAGGAAATTTCAACATTTACCAATTCAAAACACACGTTAGAATCTTTTGATATTCACCCACGGATAATATCCCAGGGAAAGGAGCCCCTAGATTGATCTGTGTTTGGCCATGAGGTAAATAAAACATGGCCACAAATTGTTGTATCGCCAGGGATAAAACTTGGATGCCAGCCGAAACTGTCCCTATAGATGGAGCGCATTAATAACTTGATCCTAACCTCATGGCAGCAGACACCAAAATTTGAATCAATGGATTATCATTTGTCAATCAAACAGGAAAATTAGACCACATGTTTTAGAGTATAGTTACATTGTTGGCACTCTGCAATCAAAAGTAATTGCAAAAGAGAACATTACCTGCAAACAGTTGCAAAGCCGAACATGCCATTATCCAATCCCCAGCAATCCTGAATAATAATCTCCCTAGCAGTCCTGCAAACAGAAAACAAAGCGGAAACACTCTTCTTATCCCGCAGCTGACATTTCTGTAAATGCAGCCTTTGAAGTGCAGGAAAAGAACCCAAATACTCATCGACCCCCAGATTCAAATCAATCCTCTTACAAGACTGTAACCTCAAAGTCTTCAAATTCTCGCAATACGAAACCGCAGCCAACCACCCATCATCCATCCTATGATCACACAAAGTCAACTCCTCCAACATCTGACAACACTTCCCAATCGCCTTAATCCCATCAAAACTACCTTCACAACCACAAAGCTCAAGCTTCACAAGCCTCTTACAACCCTGAGCCAAAATAGTCAAACCTATATCCGTAACCACCGAACCATAAAAACCTTCCACATTCCCAACCAATTTCAAAATCTGCAAATTCCCACAGGCCGCTATCCCACGCAACACATTATCACTACACCTCTGAAGCTCCAACTCCTGCAACGTAGGACACTCTTCCGCCACACTAAGCAAACCCATCTCACTAGCACCAATCACCTGAACCCTCCTCAAATTCGGACAAGCACTCGCCAAAGCACTCAACCCATTATCAATAACCTCAACAGGAAGCATATTCTCCTCACAATTATACCAATTTGGCGAACACCCCGAATCAACATGCATAGACAAAACATTACCACTCATCAAAATATCCCTACTCCGCGCCAAAATCAAACAACCAGGAATCAAATCAACATGATTGAGATTCGGAAACCTATGAATCAACCTACCGGACAAAACAAAATTCCAATCAAGAATCCTAATCGAACGAACTAGCCGACCTTGGAGATTCAACCATCTTTTACAAACAAGCGAATTAGAATTCCTCTGTGAATCAGAATCAGGCAGCATTGAAAGAATCTTGAGAAGAATCACATCGGATAATAACAGCGTTCGATCAATGATTGAGAAACTAGGGATTAACGTGTTGGAATTTGATTTGCGAGGAGAAGTGAGAGACTGAAGCTGCATTGCAGCAGCAGCAGCAACAACCATTTGGTCTAACGGCTTCGATTTTGTATGCTTTAGCCATAAATCGGACCACCGAGGTCCTCGTTTCTTCAATGGCGAACTTGGATTAGGGTTAGGGTTAGGGTTTTCTTTCTCGTTCTGATATTGATTCTTCTTCACCTCCGTCGAAAACGACATCGTTTTTTTTTTTGTGTGTTGTTGTGGTGGTGGTGGTGTTGAGCTTGAAGCAGCGTCGTGTATATTTATTTATTTATTATGTATTTATTATTATGAAAATGAAAATGGAAAAATTGAATTTGTAAAGTTTTTAGGGAATAACAAACACCAACGGAAATGTTTGAAATGTCATCTTCTATCTAACTTTTTATATTTTGAATATTTTTTTTTTTCTTTCGAATGATTTCTTTTTGTTTTCTTGTGGATGATTTGTAACGGTATAGATTTCCACGGTAAACGGATCAAGTAGAGATGCATTGATGATGACATGGAGATGCAGTGTTGTAGGCTTACTTAACGGATATAAGTAGTTTGAATTGGTCACACTTTTGTGTTCCCCATTGATTTAATGAAGTAACCACAAATGGAGTAAAACATTGATTTAATGAAGCAAAGGGACCATTAAAAACAATTTAAAGTCTTGAGAAAATAAATTGAGATAATTTAGTCTATATTTTTTTTTTTTTGGTAAAAATAGAAGAAAAAAAAATACTCGACTAGACCAAAGCTCAATTCGATCGAAACTAATTAGATTTTAATTTGTCACCTCTCAATTACATCTAGTATCTCCTGTTATTATGCGAAAAATACATAGAGTTGCCATTGAATTTTATTCATTTTGAAGAAAGGGAAAATATTTATGAAATCTCTTAAAAGGTAAAGAAAATGGTCTCGCAACTAAATTCGAATTCGGAAATTGGTTATGCAGGGGAATGTATTAGCACCTCTCACATCCGTTGTACTCAACAGAAACCATCTAGATTGTCTATACGCGAATGAGTGTCGTTATCTAAAGGTCTTCTTGCTATTGGGTAAAAACAGTTTTCTTTTTATTAGTGTGCTCACCAAGATCTCGCAATCTCGTGCCTACGTATCTTCATAGTGCAATAAAGAGATCAGAGCTCCGTAGTTTGAGGTAGAAAATGAGTGTGTGCTGGTTGACTTTACCTTGAAAAAGAGTTTCCGGGATGATTCCCTAAGGCACAAAAAGAGTGTCGTACCTCGAAAAATGAGTGCACGACCTCGCGAAACGCAATCGCACGCCCGCGGGATGTACTTAATAGAGTCGTCACTGATCTTTATTTATTTCCATAAGGGGAAAGGGAAATTATCGAATAAAATTATTAAAAAGGAAGACATAGATATGGTCATCGCAACCAATATTAGGGCTTGGGAGTCGGTTACGCAAGGGGAAGGTATTAGCACTCCTCACGTCTGTTATACTCAACTGGAACCGTTAGGTTAGTTGTGTGTGTTAATGTTTACTCAAAATGCTAGGCTTCTCAAGTTATTAAGGGAAAGAAGTAGGACAAAAAGGTTCATTTTTTATTAGTGGGCAGATAAGAAAGGACCTAAAAACGTTTTTATTATTATGGGGTCTGACAAGATTTCGCAATCTTGCTCCTACGTATCTCAAAAGAGAAATCAAGGCACGTGTAGTTATGGGTAAAATAGTTTGTTTGTTGGTCGATTTTAGTAAAAGCTATCTTGTATTAATCGACAGAAAACATTGTTTTACCCAAAACGGGTGAGGAGCAGACATTTGCATCACATTGAATGGATTTACGAATCAACATTCATAGGAAAATGTCATTTATCTCAACTCAATGATTGTGGATGAAGCTTTTCTTAGCATCATCTTAATTCTTAAGACAAGGCGTCTTTTGTTTATAAAAATGTTTTTAGATCACACGGCGGCGAGAAAAAAGAATTTTATTGGTTGGATGTTTTGTTTGAATGACGATTACTCAAATAGTCGAGTAAGACAAACTCGTATCCAAATAATCAATGAGAGGAATCAAAAGCTCCATATCATCTCCCTTTTCATTCTTAATTGCGAAAGGATTTAGTATATTTAGAGTATTTTAAGTGGATGGCAAATACTCGAATGGCCGAGTAAGGTAACTCGTATCCAAGTATTCAGGAAAGGGAATAGAAGGCTCTAGACCACTTTCTTTTTCATCTAAGTTATTAGGAAAAATAGGTTTTGATTTGATTTGATTACAAAAAGGTTTTAAGGTGAATCAGATTATGTTTTTTTTAAGAGATGCCAATTGTTTGACTAATCGAGTAAGATAATTCGTACCCAAACAATTGAGGAGAGGAATTGAAAGCTTCCGACCATCCCTCTTTTCATTTTAATAGAAAATGTTTAAATATGATTAGGCATCTTAATTTTATTTAAATAAAATACTTGATGTTGATCGAGGTTTGAATTTACGTTCGAAACAGGGTGGCGATTTGAAATGATTTGAAGGAAAGACCTACTTGGTGTTGGGTTAAGGTTTTGGCATTTTGAAAAGGGTTTAAATATAAATTAAAGTTACTACTCACAAGATTAAAATTCTATGAAAAAAAACAAGTGTATGCAAATAAATGTGTTCATTGTAAGAAAGCCCAAGAGTAAGCTAATGAGTGCGTGCAAGATAAAATTCATTGTAAGAAAGCCTAAGAGTAAGCTATGTGAGGTTGATGGCAATGCTAAAATCGATCGACTTACAAAGGTGTTAAAATGGGCTCGACGTTGAATCGAGAATTGTTTTTATCTTTTTTTAATAAAATGGTTTGATATGATTTTGAGAAAAAGAAACACTTGGCTTTAGACCAAGGATTTTGAAAATGGAAAGGAATAATCAGGCTGAATGAAAAGGGCCAGACCAAACAAAGGGGAGTCCAAACCATTGGCACGAGTCAGGAGATTCGGGTTGGATCTCAACCGGCCAAGCCAAAGACAACTAAATAAGGTTCACAAAGTTGAACCTTAATGCATCTTCGTTCAAAACTTCCTTTATTCTCTCCAAAGTCTGAAGTGACATGATGCGTATGAGAAAAAAGAAAACAATAAGGCCAAAACCTTCTCTCATGTTGGTTCCCTCTTCTTCCTATCTCTCAATCGCCCTTCTCCTTATTCATAGAGAAACACAAAGACCAAAACAATGGCAACCCCATAAGCGATTGCTCACAAAAAAACACCAGTGCTCACACACCATAAAAACTCTATATCTGAGCCAAACAAAACAAACCTCTAAAAACCTAGGAGAAAATGTAATCATAAATCAGGAGTACAAGTCGACATATAACTTAACACAAATGCAAGCAGATCGAACAAAACACATTCCCCTCGTGAAAACCCTACCCTAATTCACTATGTTTGTCCATCATTACAAAAAATTTCCAAGAAATAAAAAAAAAAGCAAAAAGAGATCACATCATCACCAAAAGGAAGGAAAAAAAGGAGTAAAGAGCTAAAGAACTACCAAATTAGAGACAATGCTTTTCTGACGACATGGAAAATCCGATGACACTCTCGTCCGCTTATACTCTTGTTCTTTCCTTTCTTTATCTCTTTACCTTTGTTTCTATGCACTTCTTGCTTACGTGCTTGGCCTAGCTCAATTTGTTAGGTTTTCTCAATGTTCCCTTTTTTATGTATGAGTATTGTTTTTTTGATGTGCCAATATCAATAGTGTTCTAATGGTTTCTTCTTCTATGTGGTGTATTCTTGGTTGGTGTTATGTTTTTGACATGTTTTTTTGTTCTAAGGTTATATTCAATGGATGTATGGATGGTTTTGACTCTTAGCTTTTCTCACTTGTCGTACCTCGAAAAATGAGTACGACCTTGCGAAGCACAATCGCACGCCCGCAGGATAGACTTAACAGAGTCGCCACCGATCTTTATTTATTCCCATAATGGGAAAGAGAAAATATCGAATAAAACCACTAAAATAAAGGAAAGGATATGGTTTCAAAAAGAGAGGTCCTTGAAGTTCAACATTACGCAACCACCAAAGTAAGAAATGCTTCTACAGGGGGTCCTAGAGTTATGGACCCTTCATGAATCAGCGTCATGTGACAGGTTAGTTGTCTTATAACGAGATCTACGAATAGGTATACTCTAGAGGAGCCTTCATGTTAGGTACACAAAGAGTGGCCCTTGGTGACTAACACTACACAACTTCCAAATCTAAACTATGTTTTCTCTCTTCTTTTTCCAAAGCTCGGGTGTAAAGCTTTATTCATGTAGCAAATCCCAAAACCCACACATGAATATACAGAGAAATATATGTAAAATGCGATAAATCAGAGATAAAGAAAACATATAATAAAAAAGAAGAAACAAACAAAGTTAACACACATATGAAACCTAACTAAACTAGGTTTGACTCACTTTGGGATGGGAAACTCCCTAGCAGAGTCACCATCTATCATACCTCGAAAAATGAGCACGATATTGCGAAGCGCATTTACACACCCGCGAGAAGGACTTAAGAGAGTCGCCACCAATATTTATTTATTCTTATAGAGAGAAAGGTAAAATATCGAATAAAACCCCGAAAAAAGGAAAGGATATGATCATCGTAACCAATACCTGAGTTCGGGAGTCAGTTATGCAAAGGGAAGGTATTAGCACCCCTCGCGTTCGTTGTACTCAGCAGGAACCATTAGTTAGGGTTGAAAGAATGTTAGCTTATAGTAGTTTATAGTCTTCTACTTATTTGGGATAGAAAAGAGAGAGTAGAGAATGGATTTTTATTAAAGGGAAAAGGGTGTAAGAACACAGATTGTTTCTTAGTAATATCTCTATGTTTTGATGATAACTCTTACGAAATTTTGTATTAAAGAATTATATACTCTAAAATTTGTTCATGAATATTTGTTGCAGATGTTAAAGTATATATATATATATATATATATATATATATATATATATATATATATATATATATATATATATATATATATATATATATATATATATATATATATATATATATATATATATATATATATATATATATATATATATATATATATATATATATATATATATATATATATATATATATATATATATATATATATATATATATATATATATATATAAGAGCAAATTAATCTAAACATGGAAATATGGAAGGCTCTGAAGAGTCAGAATCATCTTATAGAAGAATCTGAATG